TAAATCAAACAAATTTATTGATGATGATAACCACAGGAGAATAGACTAGGTTAACCTTTTAGAATATGCTAAATTCCCTATTTAGATAATGTTGGAACATGCAAATTTAGAATGCACAACATTGACAACAAACACCCAAAAATGGAGCAAACCACCCATGTGCCTGTTTTGATAATCGTCTCTTGAATATATATATGTGTGTGTGTGTGTGTGTGTGACACGAATTAACTAATTAACAACAAACTTTAGTATGATTTGTGCGCTTGTAATACGAGCTGCGAGAGTGATATGGTGTCACACAAAAAGATTTATTGGATCGTTGAAATATTGAATGCTAGGAGCTGGTCATTGTGCCATTTGTCTTCACATATCGCCTTTGACATAGAATATTCAGATTCTGCTGAAGAATTTTTTTGAATAACTAAGAGGTTCTAGATCGGAGAGCATACATCCCTTTAAGTCGGAAACCAAAACATGTTATATAATTTTTTTCTAAATGCTACTCGAATTGGTGACCTGTAAAATTCTGTCAAAAATCTTTATCAATTAAATTATTACCACTTGTAAGTGTTTACGTATTTTCTTTAGCAATAATAAATTTTCTTTGAACTCCGAACCACATGTATATTAGACGATATATATTCCAATGGACTTATATTGTTCATTTTAAAACACTGTTGTGAATAAGTATTAAATTCTGCAAGAACTGTCAACCCTATCCACCACAAAGCCATCCACGTATAACAAAATATGTAAATGAGATTCTCCATGAATGAATGAGAAACAATGAATAAAATTGAGAACTACCAACGAGTGGAGATTAACGGAGACCTTAGAGAGATTCCTTAAGCTGACTCATGAATGTGAAACAATGAGAAAGCTTCATATAAACATCTTCCTAAGATCGCCATATAAAATGAAATATGTAAATCCATTTTATGAACTTCTCAATTCTTATAGAAGCAAACCTTTTACAAGAGCACTTTTATAACCCACAGGTTTTGACAAATGAACCCACAGGCCACACAGTACAGCACCACTCGTTTTAAGTAACATTACTAGAAATGAGATATAACCTAATGTATATTTTATTATTTTATCACTTGAAGTTTGTTGTGGTATTGGTATTGGACTTATTGGCGACAAAATCAGGAGGCTTTAGGTGCATGAATCATGCCGAGATAAGTGTTACTCACCGTACGGATATTAATAACTAACAACAATATTGTTCATTATTGATAAAAATAATATAAAATATATATAGTATGATGTGAAACAATAATAATTTAAATAAACGAGTTCCTCTTTTTATTAATTTCTTACTCCAATTTAAACAAACCGGATATTTTTACACTATCTCCATCGGAAGAACAGAGATGGGTTTCTGAAAATTAAAACATAATAAAAAATAAATAAATTGAAGAAAGAAAGAGATGGTTTTTGATTTTAGAGCGCCAGAACTCGTATATGAGAGACGGTAAAAGCAAGTGTTATTTTCTGATTGGTTTAAACATTTTTTTAAAAATAACAATAAATAAGTTGTATATATAAGTATAAAACTAGATCAGTACGTGCTTATAGTTTTTTATACATAATTTTACATATATTATATTTTAAATCAAAGTTTTGATATGTTATATTAGTTATAGTTAATTATTCTCACAGTCTCTTATAATGATCGTAACTCATTCTATCATATAACATACTACGGTTAACCCGTCGTTTGTAATAAATATTTTAAATATATTTGTTTGAAAAGATCAAATTATTGTATTTATAATTATATCTTAAATATACATAAATTTATTTTTTATCTAAGAATTTTATGATATTTATAAAAATAGCAAGTTAAATTATTTTTAAATCTTCCAAATTAAAAGATATAAAATTTTTATTGTAGTATATAAAATTTTATTTAAATTTTGACAGGTTACAATTTTTTTCTTTGTAAGTTGAACAATTTATATTTTTTTCAAAACTTCAAATCATGGCATTTGCAGAAAAAAAGATCTACATTTTTATTTTATATGAATGATATAATGAGTTATTTGTTTCACACCAATATAATCATATAAATATGAAAGGTGAAGTAAAATAATTAATAACAAATAAATATGATTAGTTAGATATCAAATCTTCTATGTTTATTTTGATTGGTCATTCATTTAAAAACAAATTAATAATGTATTTTTGTTTCACAATTTGATTAAATTGAATAAATGAGTATTTCACATATTTAATATTAATTCATCCCTTAAAACTTATATTTGTAATGGCAATAAAATGTAATCAAGTATCATTAGTGATGTTTATTTTATAATGTACTTCCCTTTTAATAAAAAGGGGAACTGTCGGAACCTATGCATATTCACAGCTGATGTTGCTCTAGGTAGAAAGTATTTTATTTAAGTTATTTTAAAATTTATATTTAAGTTATTTTATATTATTTAAAAATCAAAAATAAATTTTAATAACAAAATAAGAATTTATCGAATAACTACAAACAAAATGTTATTTTGAACTCATGGAAAAACAAAATGGCTATCCTTGCTGGCGATTGAATCAATCAAATTTGACACATATAGTGTGGCCACATTACAGCCATTGGGATGCTAGGGTATGCAAGAGCCGCTACAGCTATTTTGATGGACGAAATTGGCAATTATGTAACATCTCGACCTATGATTTTCGTTCCATGTAAAACTATTGTTTTAAGAAGTTTGGTACGTTTCCTGAAACATATCTTAAATTTTCAACATTTATAAATTTTGGATTCTTTAGCTTCTATCTAGTATCACCACCACATCTCGTGCTCCTCCATTAAGCCGCCATCTTTCTCGAACTCCAATCTTTTTCTTTTTTTTTTTTTCTGGTGAAACTAAAACCCGACTGATATGGTTTTCTTCTGATTTGACTCTAACTAAATTATTTAAAAAAAAAAAAAAAAATTGTGAGACGAACTCTATATATCATTTCATACCGAGATCAAAACAAGTTATATGGTTTCGTTCTAAGTGTCACTCGAACTAGCAACCTTTAAACTATTGCTAAAAATCATTACCAGTTAAGTT